GAGAGAGAGAGAAAGAGAGAGAGAGAGAGTGTGTGTGCGTGTGTGTGTGCGTGTGTGTTCAAAATACACTGAAGGTGAAATTAAAATGGATATGCATGCATGTATCTATTTTCAAACTAAGAGGATAAAGAGGCAATTTATACGTGTATATCTGTCTACATATACAGTTGGGGACAGAATTATTCATCTCCACTGAATATTTGCATATTTTCTAACGAGATGCGAATATTTGCAATTACTTACTGAATTTACCATAAATACTTGATTCCGTATTTAGTTTTGAATAATTTGTAAGATTTTTAGAAGTTTCGATCTATTATATTCACAGTTATAGATTTTCCTAAAAATTGATGCAGTCCAAAATTATCCCCCCCACGCTATTGTTAGAGATATTTCGAAGAATGCTCACTTAACGATAAAGGATGTAAATGCATCAGGATTGAATGTATCGACGAAGACAGTCACTAGATGCTTTCATCGAGAAGGACTTCGAGCTTGTCGCCTAAGGAAAAGTCCCTTGCTTAAGGCTAAACACCTAACATCCGATTAGCTGATGCTAGAAGCCATCTAGAACATGAGTAAATATTGAAACTCTGTTTTATGGTCAAATGAATCCAAACTAGAATTATTTGATCAAATGAACTCCAATTATGTATGGCGGAAAGTGAATGAAACTCACAAACCAAAAAATACCCTCCCTACAATTAAGCAGGATGGTGCGAGAATTCTGTTCTGGGAGGAATGTTTTGCTATTTCTGAACCAGGAGAAATAGTAAAATTACAGGGTATCATGGATAAAGAGCAGTATTTGACTATTCTTAAAAATAATATGAAACAAAGTACATGAAATCTGTCTTTGGGGCATCACTGGACGTTCTAATATGACAATGAACCAAAACACATGGCACAAAGTGTTACAAATACTTAGATGACAACAAAAGCAGCTTACCCTGCACAAAGTCCTGACTTAAACTCATTGAAAATTTATGAGCGTATTTGAAGAAAAAAGTAAGAAAAAGAAGTCCTTCGAATTTGGAGGAACTAGAAGCTATTACCAAGGAAGAATGGAACAAAATACTTATCAGTGTGTGTAGTGATCTTGTAAGGAACTATCAAAGACGATTAAAAGAGATTGTCAAGAATAAACCTTACACAACTGATTTATTGAGGCAAGGGATCCAATAATTTAATTTTTTTTGTATTATTGTTTGACATTAAAATAAAAATTTTGTTGTGGACATCACTGCACATTCTATCAAATCCATCATTTCATCATTTTTATAGCGCTTATTTGTAATTATTTGTAATTATGGAAGTGAGGTGAATACTTCTGTCTACAACTCTGTGTGTGTGAGTGAGAGAGAATGTGAATGTGTGTGTGAGGGAATGTGAACGTGTGTGTGTGAGAAGGAATGTGAATGTGTTTGTATGAGAGATGTGAATGTGTTTGTATGAGAGATGTGAATGTGTGTGTGAGAGAGAATGTAAATGTGTGAGAGAGAATGTGAATGTGTGTGTGAGAGAGAGAATGTGAATGTGTGCGTGAGAGAGAGAATGTGAATGTGCGCGTGAGAGGAATGTGAATGTTTTAGAGAGTGCAAGTGGGTGTATGAGAGAGATAACCTTAATGCGTGTGTGCGAGAGAGAACGTGAATGTATCTGAGAGAGAGAATGTGAATGTGTGTGTGAGTGAGAGAGAATGAGAATGTGTATATATATATATATATATATATATATATATATATATATATATATATATATATATATATATGAGAGAGAGAGAGTAAATGTGGAGGAATCGTGAATATGTTTGAGTCTTTAAAGTGTTTGGCAAATTTTAATAGGTAGACAACGTAGCATAGATAAATAGATAAGTTTCGTGAAAGATAATTTAGGCACGTGAGAAAAGAAACAGAGAGAAATTTGTCGAAAACGAATATATAAGAAGTCAAACATTGACTATAGCAAAGTCCGAATAACTAAGAGGAGAAAGTTTCAAGTATGAATCTTAAAACAGCATTGATCGCATTGAAATTTCACATTCGAGTCATTTATTACTATTGAACTTCTAAAAAGACATTACCCCAATAATAGGCAATATTATTAGTTCCTATGGTCTAGGTTTAAGGCTCCAAAGACCCACCACTGGACAAGTGGATATAAGTTTTGCTTAACTATGCATTTTACTTAGTAGTCAGTTATTTCAATCACAAAGATGAATAATCCTCCAGCTTAGTAGTCAGTTATTTCAATCACAAAGATGAATAATCCTCCAGCTTAGACTTCAAAATGGAAAAATAAATTTTTGTGGACTGAATAAAAGGTGTGGTTCGAAATTCTGAATACAACAAGCATCTGTAGAAATCTGAAGGTGACAACGATTAAAACTTTGCGATTATAACAACCAAGAAAGCAACAGTTCATAATTGACGTTGTGTACTTCCGTTTTCTCTTTAAGAAGACGTTTTTTATGTGTTTTTTTCTTTAAAGCACCTCCCAATAAAGACGCACTATCATGATTTTATCTTTCAAAGATGACAGATCATTTTGCTTGAAAATCGGTTTTTTCCGTGTGTATGAAAGACATGACCTTAATGACTTCAGTTAATCTGAAAAAGCGACAGTAGAAAATGACAATATAGCATGTTATTCTTTCGAATCAAAGTTGACTACAAAAAAATCAACAGTGTATTTCATTTCTGATTTATCAATGAAATTTAGAAATTCAATAGAAGGCAGAAGAAACAATTGGAAATGGAATATTTTAAGTTCGAAAATTGGATACTGAATGAAAAGGGTCGGATAAGACAAAACTCACTTTGATCGTTCTGATAAGAAAAGAAGTACCGAATTTGTTAGTGAGGGCTTCAGATACAATACAATACGGGGGCCTACATCAAGTGGCTTGAGGAGGTAGGGCTATCCCATAAGAGGGTGGCTGCTGGAAGACCCTATGTCTGGCAACAGAACTCTGCACCATGCCACACAAGCAGGAGAACTTAGTCATGGCTGTCAGACTACGACCACATCACCCCTTACATCTGACCACCTCACTCTCCAAACTGCAACCCCTTTGATTATTAGGTGTGGGGAGCAGTTGAGCGACCGACCAACAACATTCCTTATAACACCAAAGAAGTATTGAAGGCAACGATTATGGCAGCATTCACCAACTTAAACAAGGAGACCGTCCAGAAGAGTTGCAGGAGATTCTGAGATCGTCTGAAGGCCGTGGAAATTTTGTTGAATAAACTTACTCTCCAGTATCTCAAGATATGTTCGTGCAATTTTGGTAAATATATCTGCTAAAATGAGATGTCAATGTTATTTTCATTTTTGCGTAATTTAGATGACATTTTATCTATCGCACCCTGTATTTGGCACATGTAAGAGCCAAAATAAATTTAAGTTTCGATAAATATTAGTTTAATCATTAGACAAGCGATAAGAGCAACTCGACGTGATGTAATGCTTAGCAAACTTGTCTCGCTAGAACAATTACGACTTAGTAAGGAGTTCGATCTTCACTTAGAAACATTACCATTAGACAAGCGATAACTTTACCAATATATACGTTGGCAAATAATGATGCACACTATTTTAAAAAATAATAACCATATAAAATCAACTAATTATCCATACGATAAACTGTAAGATGAGTGACAGGATACTTAATTAAAAAAAGGCAAGAAACAGAAATCAATGATAATTCAGGAAGAATAATGAATTCGTGTCTTTGACACCAAAACTGTTGGTAAATGCTCGATGGTAAATGTGTGTTAACAACGAATAAATAGGACTTACACAGTCTAATCCATTACGAAAGCAAAATTGCTAAAAAACGTAAAGAATTAAACGTAAAATATAGAACATGGAGGAAGATGAACATGGGAAAGAACCGACTGAAAGCAAAATCCTTTCTCTATCCAGAACTATTCAAAAAGCTAAGCGCACAAACTTTTTTTTTTTTTATTAAAAAGTTTTCCAATAGAGCAAGAATTGAGTTGTTAACTTCGTATTTATTATTTTTCCACCATGTCGACAGATATAAACAATAATTCCTCTCGGTTGACTAAAGTAGCAATTCGCGTCCTAAGAAAATAGAAATAAATTAACAAAGTTATTGTATTAAATATGTCGAACGAAACAAAAATTTAATTTTCTTTTGAAGTTGATTCCTAATTTAAAAAAAAAAGGCGATCAACATTATTCCTAATCTACCTTCGCATGCTTTCAACAAGCGAACACTTGACACGTCGTCGTGTTTCATTAAGATTGCTGAAAATGGACTTTTCGATATGATGCGTAGATTTTACTTAAGGAGCAAGAAATCAAAATGGACACTTGAATAACAATTAGATTAAATAGCGTTATCCTTTTTTTATGTAAATAATTCAGTTAAAATATTTACGACTTTAAATGTTGGTCTTTAAAATTTTCGAAATGAAAATCTTCGATGAAAGTAAAAATCCCTGACTCGAAAATACGTTGTGTGTGTGCGCGCGCACGCGCGTGAGACTGTCCAAATGTTTAGACTAATTGGTGAACCATTTCCAAAGATTTCTGTTATCCTATTGTAACTTAGCAAATACGAACAGTATACGTTGTGGCAGTGCTTATACAATTTCTATACTCAGTAAGTCCAAAAAAGAAGCCTTTTTCGCATACAAGAAAATATATAACGTAGGCTAAGTTTAGCATTTTAGATTTAGCATTTTTAATTGTCTACATATTTGAACCATTATCAATCTGTTATATAAATGCATAGGTGATCATTTTTCAATCTGCTTATCTTGCACTTCTCCATCTGTTTTTATACTTCACCTATCCAGACATTTTTTTCATTATTTCTTCGAGTTTCAGCTGCGTCTTTCTATCCATTAAATGTTCCTAAATACACGACGAATTCCTGCACTGCCCTCTGCATCTTCCATCTGACATGACATTTTCTATCAAGCTGAAATGTATTTAACACTGAATGCTTTTTTCTTTCTTTTTAGTCGGACCTCCTTTCGGTGGCGTCATGTACCAGTTTGGTGGCAAAGAACTTCCCTTCCTTATATTAGCTGTTGTTGCTATTGTTGATGGATGTAAGTATCCCAGTACACCTTGCACTTTTTATCTTCAACTCTTATAAATCACAATTTAGATTAGATTTTACTTGTTATCCAATACAATTTGAGACGAACGGCTGAAATTGCTTACTTGGAGAAAAAAAATATTTTTATTTCAGAAGAGAAATAGTTGTTCTGTACATTTAATACAAAGAAATCTATTTCACTTCCCCTCTGAAAAATCTTGTGCTAAACATGGATAGATATTTGATATCTAGAAAAACAAACTGAAATTAACAATAAATCACCCTACATGTTTTAAGTCATTTGTGCGTTGACCTTTCAAATGTCTCAAAGTTAGTCGCCCTGGGCTAAGCATTTGGAGTTAGCATCAAAGAAAGTTAGAATAAAGAAAGATCTTTTCTCCTAAAAGGGTTCATTGTGTACTATTTTTTGTTGACATTTTTGTTATCGACCCGTTTTGCTTTTGAGTTGCATTTATTTCAATATTATTGTAGCTTCTTTTCTCCTATTATATACATTAATATCAGGAATTCCACAGAATGACATTTAATGCTTATATTCGGAGATTCATTTCTTCCATTAGCCTAGATTTTGACTTTGTTATGTTTGATATAAACAAAATCATTTTATTCTTGCATCAGTTACCAAATGTGAAATCCTAGGCAGTAAAAATTAAAAGAACTGCAATATCTTCATCTGTAACTACTTCAAGCGTTCGGGTCTGTGTCACTTTCAGTCTGTGACACAAATATGTCCGATTGCTTCGGAAACAAATCTCGATCCCAACGAAGATTAATTATTTTGGTTCCGTCGTTATTCTGATCAGTTCAATGGCTGATACGAAAAGCCAATTTTAATTACTGGCCAAAGAAACATTTCTAACATTTGACATTAAAACGCCATATTCACTACTCACTATATATCTTTATCTCCCTCGCAATAGGCCAATATGACAGGCTTTATAATCGCCTACACCCAGTTAACCATTAATTAACATATCCGCCACATATCTTTTATATAAACATAGAACACTTAGGCCTTTATTTACGCACGTTTTGTTAAATAGCATGAACATAGAATATCAAGCTGCTTTTTGATTAGTTTCTCCAGGTGACAAATAAAGCGTTTGATGTCAGGTTGAAATTTGTAAAATTTTGTGTAACGTTCCGAGGGCATTCGACTATTGTTGGTCATTTTTAAAGAAAGTAAATCTAATCAGTAGATTGTTTATGTTGCTAAAAGCCTGGTATTTGAAGTCAATGAGAAATCACATACTACGCTGGTGGAATAGATCTTAGTACTACTTGATTAGAAAAAAAAACTTACGGTTCAAAAGATATATTTCGTATACTGAGGCAGCAAAAATTCATTCAACTTTTTTATTATAATCTCCAGTCTGCGTACACGTAGCCATACAAGCAGATCAAATATAAGGAAATTGTTCAATCCTAATGTTTTTAACTACTTTCAGCTATCATAAGTTATTATCAAATTTTGCAGGTAATGCTTTGATTCGGTGACTTTTTCGTCCTTTGGGTAAATTTGCATTTTCAACGAAATTTTGGTCCATCTGAAAAACCTTGGTCTTCAGAACACCGTTTATAAAGTTGATGCTTTATTATAGCAAAACATATTTCCTAAAGCAATAACTGTTCAGTGTTTTCAATGAAACAAATTAAGTTTATTTGTTTTTAAACCAAACTAATTTAAATTCTCATTTTACAAAAAGTGTTAAAACATTAAGTGTTTAAAATATTTGCTCGCTAAAAGTTATGTAATCCTTATTCTTATGTAAAGTCTATAGCTTAGAATATATTTAAAATATATAGAAAATTTGGATTAATGTTCTTCGTCATTTATTTCTATTGATATTTTAGATGAAATTTAGGATCCCAATTTTAAATTATGTTTAATGTACTTGACATAAATGTTCATAAAATATATAATGGTTCTTTATATAGATATAGTTATATTTCCTACTAGTGTGTGTGTGGGTGGGTGATAAAATATTCAGAAATAGAGAAAGAATCTAAGCATGGCGTAATATTCTACCGCTTTGTATTCTGGGTTTCTTATTTAAACGCTAATTCTAAAGTTATTTTCCCCCAGTTTTCTAAATCAGTTCTTACTTTAAATAATACACAATCGTTTTTGTTATCTGTTTCCATATTTCTCTGTACAAATACTAATAATGACATTTGAACGTCTCATTGTAGGTCTTCAGTTGTTAGTATTACAACTAAAAGTAAAACCAGAACCGCAAGAAGGAACATCTTTAAAAGATCTGATAAGAGATCCTTATATTTTAATAGCAGCCGGTAAGTATTTGTTTTAATGTTTGATTGTTAAAAGAGGATCAGTTGCATTAAAAATAATCTGCAAAACAAATTACCCTATTAAAACCTGTACTTGGAAGAACTCTTATTTTTTAAAACTATTTAAAAAGTAAAAGCAGTGAAAATCTTTTAAATATTAATAGATTATATTCACGAAATTGATGCTTAGTGGAAAACTGCTATTGATTCGTGCACTTGGCAGTTTTTTTTTGTTTTTTTGTTTTCCTGTAAAATCTCATATTTATTATCCTCTTTGAAGGGACTGGATCAATATGGCCCAAGAGAAATGAGAATAAAATATTTTCTTCCGTAAGTAAATTAAAAGAATGTAAAGGATTTAGAAAATATTCAAAAAAAGAATTCTGAATGAATTTAATCACTGTTTTGTCTGTAAGAATCAATTATGCAATGAGGCTATTCAACAAAAATACTATTCCAGTTTATTAATCATCTAGTGTTATCAAATGAAAATTTGAAGACACCCTTTGGATGTTTCAGGATAAAAATTGGCATTTTTTTCAACTGACACCAAATCAAAAGCATTTATAAAGTTTAATCTAGTTTTAAACCTTAAACATTTTAAATATTTTTTATCTTAATCGCAGCAAAGCTTTCACAATCATTCCTAATCCAATATTGTGGAGAATGTCTAGTTCAAACAAAAGCAACAAAGAGGACATTTTCAATTCGTTGCAAACATCTCAGCAGGATTGAAGCTAGGTGAAATTCTTTACAACATCATGCCAAATTCATCTTTCCTTATGAATTGCATTTTCCAATCTGTACGGCTCCAGACTCGACACATTAAATGTGTTTCTTTACCAATATATTAGTCTGTAATGTTGTACTATAAACAAGTCAGATCAAACTCACGCGCACAATTGTCAATGATAAGGTCTTTGTAGAGTAAAAGGCTTACTCCTTTTATAGATTCACATTCAGCTTAAGAAAGAAAAGAAAAAAAGGGCAGTTTATAGCATTTATTTATAAAAATCACTAAATTGCAAAGGGACAAATAATTTAACTGTAGTTTTGATTTACTGTTAATACGTTATGGGAGAAAATTTGTATTTAAAACGTTAGCGTTCCGACCATGTAACCAGAGTTCGAATTTCACTATAGCCGATTTGTCAATGTCAGACTGTGAGACGATTCCCATGTACGGTACCGTTGGGATATTCCTGAAAATTCATACGACGGGTTCATCCAATCTTTGTGTGAAATTTGGTAAATGAAACTGTTCGAAAGCCGACAGTTTTGGTAGTTCGAAATTACTAGTTATCGTGACCGAAGTTTGTTCAACCACTAATTGCGCCAGGTTATGCGCCCCTTCTCAATAACCGTAACTAAGATCTGATCGGTATAGTTGCTGTATAAACCACTGATTATCTCTTAGGGAAGCACTAATGTGTCTGCAATAGAGATTAGCCGGTTCTTTAGAAGTCTCTCGAGACTGACTTGACGAATACATCGAACTGCATACGTCCTGCCCGGTTACAGATAGAACTACATTAGTATTAGTATTTGTGCTGGTAGAGAGGGCGTGTTGAAGTTTAACAAATACTGGTTCATGTCTAAACTTATAATAAAATTTGAACACTGTCCGGGTTTGAGAGATTAGGAAATTATGGTAAGCCTACCTTTATGAAAACAGGCAGCTCGTATTACAACAAAAATAAATTCGAACAATCAAAATCTGAATAAACGACTTAATTTATACTTATCGTTTTAATATGTGAAAGTCTATAGAGATTAATTTCAAGAGAAACAAGCTATTTTCTTAGCTATATAATGAATATAATTGTGAACATTTCATCATTCATTGCATTCCTTTCAGAGAAAAACGAAAAACCTTATATTCTGTAAACAGTTTAAGACCAAGTTATTTAAATGATAGTAAAAAGGAATTGTCAGACAAAGAGAAAAGGTGAAATTAGATGAAAGACCGCAAGGAACCAAAATATAAATGAATTTGCAACATTTCAGATTTTGGATTTTACTGTCATTTATCAAGAAAAGTTTGAAACTTAGATGTTTAGCCCAATTTCCTTTTTAGAGTACCGTGTTTACATGATACATAACTAAAATTGTAAGGATGTCGACATATAAAAAACAAAGCTACCAGTCCCTTTAAACATTTAAGACACAGAATGTTACATCCAAACAGTTACTTTTCTAACCTGTATCAAAATAACTTTCTACACTAACTAAATGTAATATCAGAAATTTGAAACTATTCTTTTTCAAAATTTCAGAACCTAAATAAAATTGGATTTTTTCAACCAAATAAATCAGTAATTGAAATGATTTTCTTAGCACTATTAACCCACTTTATTTCTCTTTGCCCTTTCGCCTGATTTCAATCAAATTAAAAATCAATACACTATCTATTCTATCAAGTAAATTCCACGCACTCTTTGTCAGGCATCACAATTTTAGGAGATACTATCAGATGAAATACTAATCACTAAAATCACATTTTGCATACTGTAAGTAGTAAGATTCTCCAGTTTTAGCTTTATGGATTGAATTGAATTCTTGAAATCAATGAACATCAACTAGTATGTTCTTTGCTCTCGTATCCTCCAATAATCTGTGAAACAGCTGACCTGAATTTATTTTGTTTTATCCTCACCTTGGAATCCATGTGTCATCTCAACCTGTTTAACAAATGTCTTTTGTATATCTTAACAACAACAGCAGGGTTATGCCTCTATAGTTCGTAGTTTGTCCCGAATCACCTTTCTTTTGATAATGGCAATATACCTGCTTTCCTCCAAATTTCAGAAACATATGTCTTCCGCCAATAACGTGTGTGGCTCATTTCATAATGATTATGTTGTCAAGCACAGATGGCTTATGAGTTGATTTGATGACGCTGTCAAGTTCCTCGGCTGTGAAACCATCAATTTTAATATCAAATCTTTTTCAGTTCGTCTAACATCAATTACGGGAGGTTCCCCGAATAGGCTGGGAAAGTGCTCTTTACACTTATGACCAATTAATGTCCTCCACACTAACGCAAGTCAAAGTTCTCTCCCTTGAATGAAGCCGAATTATTTACAACTCTTTCAGGTATTCGAGAAGACCCCCTGCACTATCTGTTCATCGTTACCTTGAATTGTTTAATGAGAGGCAACAGTAAATGAGAATATTAGATTCTCCTTGCCCCGGGTATATTCGACATGAATATTGATCGACTTTAGATCGAGTTCAGGAACTTCTGTTAAGATTGGAAATAATTGTAAGACAAATTAGTCTTCAAGTTAATGTGAACAAAATTGAGTTCATGTCATTTAATTGAGTATTTCAATGACACTGAATGGCAGGCAACTTTCTACATCTTAGGGCTTGGATAAGCTCAAGTGAGAAGGACATCGAAGTCAGGATTTTGAATGCAGTGAAACTGACTGACTGGCTGGAAGGCAACAATTTACTTCACAGACAAAGACCCCTTGATCTGCTCTCAAATGGGACCATGCCAATGTTCAGGACCACATAGTGATAGAAAAAAGCGCGGAAAGGAAGCTCATTTCCGTGAAGTTGCCAGATGGAATAATGAATCGGGTGACCAAGTAATATTTCAAGATGGTTAATAGCTCCATTTTCTGATCCTAAATTTACATTGGTTACCAACACATCCAATGGGCTGCTGGGTTAGATTTTTCTCCACCGTGTCTAGCCTTGGGAGTCACATGTGTAAGATTTTCATTGCCATACTCAAAAATTGTTACATAATGATTTTGCACCATCATTCTCGAATTCCATTTATTGGTTTTCTATTTTTTATCATCACACGAGTGGCGGTTAGAATACGATCAAAACACAGTGACGTGATATTTTCAAAACTAGTCATCTTGCCTCTTCAATCGGTATTTTTGTCTCGCATCTCGTACCTTATGTGGGCCAATAACTTAACTCTTGTCATCCTTTGTGATAATGCTATAGTCAGATAAGGCATCAGTGGAATTGGCAGATCCAGCATAACCACTAATCAAGTATCGGTCACAAGCGGCAACCAGCCAGTGTGGAGAGTCTTGTCCTGTTCTGTGAACTGGTGACTATCAGAGCTTTTGGATCGAGGACAAAGTCAGCAGCACTATTAACAGGCGGGCCATCTCTTGAATCATCCGAATTATCCTCAACGTAAGGAATATATCCAGCAACCAGGTCTCTATATCTGACTCTGTCCGCATCATGCTTCTCTATTAGCATCACTCATCGTCACGTTCATGTCAATCCCTGTAATTTTCATCTTCCTATCATCTCGCTGGTCAAGGAGGAACTGCACCTCATGTTTGGGAACTTTTATATCAAAAGTACAGGCCAGGTGATATCCGTCACACTTCTTAACTTTGCACTTCTCATCCTGGTAGGAGACAGGGAGACAGCGAGACAGCTACAGATATCAAACAACTCCTTCATTTCTTCTTAAAATGCATCTTTTTTTTTGTCCACATTCTTGTTCTTATTAACGTCGATTCCTCTACTGTACAATTTTATCAACCTTCCCTCAATAGTCATCTGGTTAAGAAGAGGAACAGTCTTTCTATCTTCATTTGCCATATTTCTGAAAAAACATGGGCGGCCATCTTGATAATCATTGAGGCATCTGCAAACTTTGCTTCATCACATTTATATCGCCAGTAGTTCTTGAACATTTCACCTTTCGAAGGAAGTTTATCCACAAGAACATTTGCAGTATTTTTTATGGCTGTCCTCATTAATACAGTAGCCATCTCAATAGAATATTGATCAGTTAACCTGATAAGAAAACAGGAATAGTTAGTGAATGAACAAAATTGAATATAAACATTGTACATTTGTACAATGTACATTACATTGCACCAACACAACATGGAATTTTAAATTTCATTTGCAAATGCTGCAGACTAAACCTTGACCTATCAGCTTCAAATTTGCCATGGAGTCTTAGATTTATATAAGAAACAATCCATGAAGAGTGCAGCTTTGGGGGTATT